TTGCTTTGGTCCTCATACATTTATGGTTCCAAAGAAAGACTTAATTCAGTTTGTGATAAAATGAAAAGTCACAATGAAGTTAATGCTAATAAAACTGGATTTCCTTGAGGTGACATAGTATGACTGAACAATTCTTGTCACAATAAAAGATAAACTCCAAAGTTAAGCAGGTGCTAGGAAAGGACATATGTTGTACTGAAATGAATTGGTGATGTGGTTTACAGGATCCAGATGGACAGGATATCCAAGTTAAAGATCACATACAGTGTTAATTTTGTGAAGTACATTGATGAGAGAACAGGCAACATAGAAGGATTTGTCAGTGGAAACTAAACTTGCTAAGGAGCTCAGGGTTCCTGTTGAAACCACTTCAAGAAAATCAACAAATATAACCCACAGCAGATTTACTTGGCCAGGAAGAAGACCCTGATTGACAGGACAGCAAGTGATGACAAGGGAAAAAGAGGCCATTTTATCTGTATACTATGTGCCTTGGAAAATAATACCGCCAAACAGACCTGAAGAGTGGGTAGTTTATCTTTGTATTAGGACTATTCAAGACACTTCACACTCTAGGAAGGAGGTGATGTTGTAAGGTATATTTTCAATGCTTTAATTTAGATGATAGCTAGATGGTGCACAAGATTAAGATCTAGTAAATTCAAATAACATCTAAATGGATACATCAGTTAAAAATCAGAGTAGATAGTTTGTTCATGTGAGTCAAAATAAAGTATTTAATGAGAAATTACCATATATCTTCTCTTATACAGTTACTTTGCAAGTTATGTTTACCTAACAAAGCTAGTTAAGTTAGGTCCCACAGGTAAAAACAACAATAGTCTTGCTTCAATGTGAATATAGCCTGCTTTAGAAACATTACAGAAGAAATAAACAAATTCATTATTCTTACATGGCCTGAGCTTTATATATATTCAACAAGTAATTTAAAGGAACTTACTCAACCAAATAACATGCTACAACAATATCTACATTGCATTTTTCAGTTACTATCAAGTATGCTTTGTTGCTACATGCTATATTTTAATTTTCTCTGCTTTCCTTTGAACACTTTATACCTTTTAAAGCCTGTGTGGGTTATTATTTGAGAATCTGATAGTATATTCAATGTAAAAGACAAAAATATTAATAAGTCTGCTTGTTGAATCTCAATGATAGCTTTTCAAGTGCCAACTGTAATAAAACCTTTTCTATTATCGTAAACAGTCATTAATTAATGCATTTCTTTCAGATATTGTACTAATATCTGAAATGTAAGACAATTAATTCTTCACTGTTAAAAATACAAGTTGTACAGATTGGTGATGAATGGTATATAATAATCATGAAGATTGGTATGAATACACCTTCAAATACATGATGACACAATGAAGATTGGTATGGATACACCTTCAAAATACATGATGACACAATGAAGATTGGTATGGATACACCTTCAAAATACATAATGACACAATGAAGACTGGTATGAATACACATTCAAAGTACATGATGACACAATGAAGATTGGTATGAATACACCTTCAAAATACATGATGACACATGAGATTACTGTTGTAAACTATATTTTAATTTAAGTGTTAGGAAGAGGTGTAAGATCTAGTAAATTTGACTAATATATAAACAGGGTACTTGAGTAAATAGTTAGTAAGATGTGTGAAATATTCAGTTGAACAGTGAATGAAGATTCACACAAGTTTGTAGGTGATTGCATATGCTCAGTGTTTGTAGTCTATTAAGTCAATCAGTCAGTAAGTAAAGGAATTCTGTTGAAAATAAAAATCTTAATTATGAACTTTGGCCTAAAATTATGTGCAAGTGAAGGGAGCTTGTAGCAAACGTTAAGAAATAAACAAACTAATTTGTTATTGTTAATGTTATGTGAACTAGCTTTAGCTATATTTTTACCAAATAATCCAAAAGAACATGCTCAATGATACATGTTAGTTATTACAATAGTAGGTTAGATTATACTTCCTAAATTAACTTTTACAAACAATATCTAAATTTATTTCATAGGTATAATTTTGAATTACAACCACTGAACTTAATCATTGTCCAATGTAAATGCAAAGGAAATTAAGCGTGATTTTTGCTCTAAAATATGTCTAACTTTTAAATCTGTAAATTACTAAATATAACTGATGTCATGACGATTGGCCGAAACTAAACTGAGATCTAATGGCAGCAGTGTAGGTCTGACTATAACTCAGATGTTTATTGTTAATAATCATTACAATTAATATTACTTAGTCTTTCAACTTCCATGAATAACATTCAAATGTATATTTTCAGTACACAAAAACACACAAGTTAATTGCAAATTGCATTAATAACAATTGGACACGCTTTAAAAAGCCTAACCTGGTCCTAATCACCAAGTAAAACAATTTTGTTAAAAATCATTAAGTAATCTATTTTAAAATTATACGAAAATTAAGCCTAAGCACCGAGAGTAATGTTACTGTTAAATCCCAACATGGCTTTGTGTTCCATATTTAAAGTTTTAGAAATTATTAATCAAACACCAAAATTTCTTACAAGTTACAACTATGAAGTACAACGAACCAGTCTTTATAAATTTCATTTAGCAAGATATTAAAGTGTAATGAACGAGATTACTCAAATAAAACAACAAACCTGCCGCCCAATAAAAATAAAGTAGAACACTTAACTGTGGCTTTTCGCAATTATATTACCATGGTTACATACCACACGTATCTTAAGGTAATCATTTGACTTGAAAGTAAAGGTGAAAAGGCATTGGGTGGTGTTTTGGGCCATCTTCAAATGCTGAATAAGGACGGAGGAACGTCATGTAATCTGTCGTCTGCTTTCTCATATAGAGAAAGGATTCGACACTACATACATGGCCGTCCACAGTTATATGTCAAAATCAAGGGACGATGGACCCGCTTTCAAAGTTTTACAATTACGGTCAAGAGCATAGGCAAGCTTCAACAGTCAGATTTAAGCCTAAATGCCTAGTCAGCTAAAAACAAATGGGGCCCGGCGGGCTCTATTCAAACCAATATTATACATCAAGCAAAGGTAAATAATTTCAACAGATAGCCGAATAAATTGATAGACTTAATAAATGAAATAAAATAGAATTAAAGTAATTTATTTCTAAACAAGCGTTTATATATAAAGGGGCCTGGCTTAAAGTGGGATCCAATCAGCTTTAGCTGACCGTTAAATCCGCCCCTGTATATTAGTCGTCCTTATACCGACGGCCTAGGTATTACTTGAACAGTGGGCCGATGTTTAGCTATTTTTAAACATAAAGGATCAGCATTTTACTTTTCATGTAACAATATAAATCAAATGCATAAAGTTACTAATACTGAAATGAAAGACATACTGTTTTCAAGTATTCTATGAATATGAAATTAGTACGAACAAATATTTAAATATAATCATTTCCGCCAATAAT